GTCATGACATGACAGATGTGGATTTGAGTTCTATTGTCACGATGGTGAAAATTCAAAGTATTTTCTTTTTTTTAGGCAAATGCATGAAGCCTTCTTCGATCTCATTAAAATTGAAGAATCAGTTATTAAGTATCCGAATTGCACCAATTCAAATTGGCGGGGTTAGACTTCCATGGGAGAACCTGCAAAAGAATTGGATCCGCAATTGGGAAAGCAATTCAGGCTTAGTTTTGTTTAAGGCTGCTATCACTTTTCAGTTCTCTTAGTCCGACCGTGCATCGCCACCCTTGTCATTCCCTCCTTTAATGCTTTCTTTGTTTGAGCATATTGATTTTTTTTGTTCTCTATGCTGCTCCTGGCATTTTAACGATCGAATGTACCAAGTCCAGTTGAAATATTGCTATTATATCGAATAGAAGGCTTTATGGTATTTATCATGAGCACCATAGTTGACCTTGGCTTTCAAAAGGGATAGTTGACAGTAGTTCATTAGTTGACTTCTGGCTTCCCAGTATCTCTGGGTTTCTGTCGTTGTCTTTAGGGCTGAACACCGAATCAGGTGGGTGGTTGAGCGTATACTCCTAAACTGTGCAGATGTTTCTTCCGGCAATCGTCACCTGTACGGAGTCTAAACTCTGCAACAGCTTCGGTTCTTGGCCAGTCGGTTTTGTTGGAGAGTGCCACTGTCCACTGCATCTCCGTTGTTCGAGTTTTAAGTTCGTTGGTTTTTGAAGTCTTGAATTCTCTCCTGATTAAGGTCTTCATTGTGTGGAAAGACATCGACCAGTCTATGCCTTGCAAAATTGTGGTCCACTAGTAGAAATATTGATCAGAGCATTTCGAAGTAAGGAGAGTATCCACCATCTAGCAAAATTTTGCTCCAAAAGTGTTCTTTTTAGCAAAGAACACAGTCAATGGTTTCAAATATAAATGCGGTATCCTTTCACTCACGACTAAGCCTTGGTTATCCTCTTGGAAGTCCAACTAACTGCAGACAAGTCGAACTAGCCTCGAGAGGAGTTCTCGCGAATAGATTTCCTCCAAAGTTAACCAAGCTATGTCGAAGAAGAAGGAGGTACACAGAAGATATCCTGATAATGGAGTTTACTGCAATATTTTTCATTAAATTAGAATAATTAATACCTCACTGCCTGAAGTGGGAAGTCTCCACAACCAAGTCAAGTCCACGATCGCGCGATACGTGGTTGGTAACACTTGCGCCTTGCCTCTCTTGGTCTTGCGTGAGCAAGATTCTTTAATCCACCCTTGGTATATTCCACAGGCTAGAATGATAAAATATTGATTAGTTCATAAGAGAGTCTTTAACCCAGAGCTTTCCATGAATGAAATCCACAATTTCCTTCTCTTAATAATAATTTCTTTCAAATGGAATCGATTTCCAAGATTTAGTGACAATATTGTAGGAAATAAATTTTTCAATTTTTTTTATTTTTAGTGCGTAACGCTAACTGCATTTAGGTTCCTAAGAAATAGGACGTCTCCAGATTCCGCATAAATATTGCAGAATATTTTCGAAAGCCCGCCCTCTTTCCTGTGTGCTACAAATCAGGGAGATAAAAAATTATAAATGTGTCGGTTCGGCTTCACTTCTATCGCCTATTTCAAGACAGGGAAATCTGTGCAAAGAGCGCGCGAATTAAAATCGATCGACAATTTCAGGCGGACGCAACTCTTCAAATTAAACTTCTTCTACGCATATTTTAAAGAAGCCAGTGAACGGAAGTTTTAACAAGGGGCTTTTTTGTATAATTTTCAAATTTATTGCTAATCGATTATAAAAGTAGTCCAAAGGAAGTTTAAAAATGAAGTTAAATTTTAAAGCAGGCCATTCTGAACGTCTATTTTAAATTATTATAATCGAACCAAATAAATAAATAAATAAAGTTTCACTATGCGTTTCGAATAGACCTCGGTTTCTTGGGAGATGAAAGGATTAATTGATATTCAATGTATTCAATTGAGATAATTTTCCTGCCGATAAACGCAACTTCTATTAACTTGGAGGAGTTAATCAATACGCGTACAACAACCTGCCAAGTGGGCACTCAGGGAGGCCCAAATCCCCATTAGACAAAATTTACCTTCTCAAGTTGTGATCGCCAGGTTCAAAACCTTAAAATTCTCCTTCCGCCTACACGAATGACGTATCCAGTTATAGCATTGGCCCACACCCGACTGTATAACTAATTGAAAGGAAAACCAGAATGTCTGAATTCGAAAATGCTTGACATAAACAACAACAAAACGAGAAATAATAGTGTGGCCATGGATGTCTTGGTGGTGAAGTGTATGCCACACCTACTAAATTAATAGACAATTTTAAATCTAACGAAATTTGATTTGTTTGGATAGACTGTGCGTTGGTAGCCTAGAATGCAAAACTATAGAGGTTTCGAGATAGGGCCCACTAAAAATGATAAAATGTCGATGTGAAAGTATGCATTAAACGGAGACTTTGCGCACTTTCACTTTCAAGAAACGATATTTCATTTTCTGAAAAAGAAGATGATTAAAATAAACGCCAAACAGTCACTAAATCACACGGATGACGTAATTGTGAGGAGAGGCAAAGTTGTAATAATTACATAGAAAGAAGTGGAACAATTTAGGTAATTTTCACTGCCATAAATGGTTATCTCCTAAACTGGTGCACCGCATGGCGTTGAGGTCTTATAACTTGTGGGCCTAAAATCCTCTTAATGTCAAATTAGGAGAAATTTGTGTGACAATTATATTTTTTTACTGGAAAAAATCTATGAATAATTTTTCACTTCCCCTATCAATAATAATCAGTAGATTTTGTACAAATAAAACAGATAATTAAAACACTGTAAGACCCCTTGACACTATCACCTGACGCTAGTTACTTTCTCCAATTAAGGATCACATGTTCCATCGAATTACCGGTAGCAATAACAATAATGGTAAGCCGGTCTCAATGACCTTTAATGCTCTTCTCAACCGTTTAACAAAGCACGCGCTTATTAGAATGAGGGATATATTAAAAAGCAAAGTGAAGAACATTGTGTGTTTGAAGGTAAAATTATCACACACACACAAACATAAATTAATAGACAAAATGTATTTGCTTTAACGATAAGCGAAATTTGTGATCATAAGATTATCGTTGGCTTACGCAGCGGATAATGTGTGGAATTGATTCGAAAATATTTAGAGACTTAATACGTATTGACGTACATTCCGTGAAATGCTATAATACGTTCTAGTAGAAACGAGACTTCCCCTCTAATAAAAGACACTTTGTAATTATGTCGAGCTTTATTGTTGTTTAAAATGCATATTTATTTCAATTTAATTTGCGCAAGTAGGCTTCGCTGTGCAGGATGGGGGTTTATGTAACGGAATACGATTGAAATAATAAATATTATTTTGAATCCGAAGTCGCCGAAGTGGTATTTCTCTTAAACATATTTCTTAAACACAGTCAAATATGATTTATCATAAATTATCTCAAAATATCTTACTTCAGCACGTAGATGTTTAAAAATATATTTTGTAGTACAAGTGAGTTCGTATGCCTGATTGGAACATCCACCTCACTTTAAGTCAGACTTAAATAAAGGGATCATAAAATATAAAAGGAGCATTAATATATTTTTATTGTGAAAAATTGAACATGTTGCGAAGCAGATTAATAAGTTTAAAAATATTCGGCGAGCCTCTCTTCTAACTAGAGATTTCCACAAATGTGTTACCGTTGCAATCGATTTGAAATAGTGTATTAATATATATTTAATGCCATTAGAAATTAGACAGCTTCTATCCTCGAGAATGAATTTCGAAATGACGAAAGAGTAAAAACGATGTTCTAACGAAAATATATTTTAAACAACTTATTATATATTATAATAAAATAGCGTATATAGTAAAAAATTAAATTTTTTAAAAACCTATGTCTAACAGAAAATTGAAAATGAAATTTAGGAGCTAAATACAATTGCTTGAATGGTGATAAAATAGTATTATAATCTTGCAATATACTTACATATTAACCAAAGTAAATTAAAATTGCAAGAAATTGAATCTTTAAATGGGTTTTATTACTATTTAACCGGTTTTAAATATCTTACTATTACAATAGTTTGTTTAAATATGCATTCAAGCTTTCACAAATTTTGATTTGGCTTGTTTTTTCGTTCTCTGTAGATGAGCTTCGGTATGCTAACATTCTCTTGACTTTCTGTAGCCATATTTTTTCTGTAAACTGTAGTTTTTAATTTGATCTGTCAAAATTACCTATTTTTAGAAATTTCCTCATATCTTGTGATATATTTCTATGAAATATACTTTAACACTATATACAATCGATTTTTTGGATATCAATATTGTAAATTCTTTTTTCGTTTAGATGAGTGAAAAGGGAAATCGGTCTCAGAATGAAGGGATTTTCTCAGAATCACTTGGTCAGATTATTCTCGCCTCTGGCGACTATTATATTCTCCATGGCTCAGTATCAGATAATGTTATCGATGTCCTTCAGAAGCACTCCGACTATGTTGCAACCAAGTTTCGTTCTCGTTTGGGTTCTGTTGATTCCCTCTCCCTTTCCCACCTAATTAACTCATTTTCAGACTCACCTATTCAAATTTCTCGAATTTATAGTTTCATTTTTACCCGATCTCTCGTGAATGGGAGTCTTTGTGAGACAGAATCCTCAAAGTTACTTACCTCATCCCCGTCAAATTTATTGTCTATTTTTCGCACAACTTGTGAAGAACTTAACGTTAGTGTCGAAGACAAACCCCAATTACCGCCCTATCTTCAAGGTGGTCAACAAATCCGATCTCAACGAATAGATGCCTTTGTTACAAACAAATCCACAACTATGCAGTATGAAGATTTCTCGCGGTTAAGGAACAGAGCGACCTTATTTGGGCGGTCCTTTGATTTCTGGTTGGAACGAGGTGAATTTAACTTTTCCCAGAAGTCAGACGCAGCAAAGATCCTAGCCTACTTGGTCACTCTTTGTCTCCGAGATGTTGTCGATTGTGCTCTTTATAATCGTCAGCGGTTTGGAATTAACCTCTTCTCCCAAGTCACTGCAATTGAGTTGCAGCAAGCCTGCTCAGTTTTACGAAAATTGGAGTATTTGTAAATATTCGTTTTTAGCGTTTGTGGTAGTTCAAATACAACTGTACATACCATTTTGAACATCTTTGCCATTTCAAAATTTGAATTTATGCATCATAAGAAACTATTGCTGTTAAGAGGAAATTTCGTGCAAAGCATCCTTTTTTTGAAACTATAGTAATCTATTTGAGTTTAGTAATGAAAACAAATTTCCCTTTATATTTATTTATTTATTTCAAATGGCGGGCTTCATGACACTTATCATTAGCCCCTTAGTTGACTTCGGGCTTCACAGAGGGGAGGAGGAACATCAAAGTGGGAAAAAGTGGATAGGGGGAACAGAAGAGTGATTCAAACATGTTAAGGAGACAGACAGACAGACACCAATGTAGAGAAAAGCAGAGAAAGGGTAAGATTAGTACGGTGGAAGTGGGGTGATGGTAGTTTGAAGTGAGAAGTCAACTGCCAGTTAATAGACTTTTTTGCCGTATGAGAATACCTTGCCCGGGGTGCACTCTTTATACGGAACTTTACTTTTGCTCGTCTGGTGTAGTCTTAGTTTTTTTAATAGTA